TGATAGAAAATGCACAATTCCAAAAGGAATATAACAGAGACACACAGAGAGAGGGGGACACACATGCTGGGGAGAGAAAGAGAGAGAGGAAATGTAAGACAAAGCAAGAAGTATAGAGGTATCTGAGAGAGATGAAATGAAACCTAAGAGAGAGAAAAATAGAACCTAAGCAAAAGAGAGTGGTGGAAGACAAATGAAAAGATAAATGAGAGAGAGAGAGAGAGAGAGATGAATGAAAAGGAACCTAAGGGAAAATGAGAGAGAGAGAGTGAATACTGAATTACTATTCGTTCTTCACTCTTTTTCTCTCTCTCTCTCTCTCGATAGAAAGATGAATGAAAAGCACAACCTAAGAGAGAGGAATGAAAAGAAACCTGTGAGAGACAGAGAACGAGAAAAGAATGGAAAGCAACATAAGAGAGAGAGAAAAGAATGAAAAGCAATGTGAGAGAGAGAAAGAAGCAAATGAAAAGCAACCTGAGAGAGAGATACAAATGAAAAGAAACCTGAGAGAGAGAGACAAATGAAAAAAAGAAAGAGAGAGAGAGAGAGAAACAAATGAAAAGAAACCTGAGAAAGAATAGAAAAGAAAGAAATAAACCAGAGAAGGAATAACCTAGAGAGAGAGAGATGGATAAAAGAACTGAAAAGAGAGAGAGCTGAGAAAGAATATAAAAGAAAGGCATAAACCAGAGAAGGAATATGAGAGAGAGAGTGAGAGAATGGGGAAAAGAGAGATAGATAGAAAGAGATGAGAAGAAGCATATGACAGAACAGACAGATGAGAAAAAGCATATATAAGAGAGATGAGAGAAAGTATATGAGAGAGAGAGATAAGACACAGAATAGGGGGGAGTTAAGAGAAGGAATATGAGAGAGAGAAATGAGAGAATGAACATAAGATAGAGAGAGAAAGATGAGACAAAGAACGTGTGAGAGAGAGAGAAAGAAGGAACAAGGAAGAGAAGGTGAGAGAGAAAGAGAAGGTAAACCAGAGAGAACATGAAGAGACAGAGATAGAGGAGAGAAGGTAAAACCAGAGAGAGAGAAGAAGGTAAACCAGAGAGATAGAGAGAGAAGGAAACCAGAAGATAGACGAGAAAAGAGATGAGAGAAAGAATGTGAGACAGAGAAGGTACATGAGAGAGATAGACGAGAGAAGGTAAACCAGAGAGATAGACGAGAGAAGGTAAACCAGAGAGATAGACGAGAGAAGGTAAACCAGAGAGATAGACGAGAGAAGGTAAACCAGAGAGATAGACGAGAGAAGGTAGAGAGATAGAGAGAAGGTAAACCAGAGAGATAGAGAAGAGAGAAGGGAAAAAGAGAGAGAGACGAGAGAAGGTAAACCAGAGAGATAGAGGAGAGAAGGTAAACCAGAGAGATGACGAGAAAGGTAAACAGAGAGATAGAGGAGAAAGGTAAACCAGAGAGATAGACGAGAGAAGGTAAACCAGAGAGATAGAGAGAGAGAAGGTAAACCAGAGAGAGGAGAGATGAGAGAGAAGGTAAACCAGAGAGATAGAGGAGAGAAGGTAAACCAGAGAGATAGACGAGAGAAGGTAAACCAGAGAGATAGAGGAGAGAAGGTAAACCAGAGAGATAGAGGAGAGAAGGTAAACCAGAGAGATAGAGGAGAGAAGGTAAACCAGAGAGATAGAGGAGAGAAGGTAAACCAGAGAGATAGATGAAACCAGAGAGGTAAATCAGAGAGAGATAGAGATAGAGAGAAGGTAAACCAGACAGATAGAGGAGAGAAGGTAAACCAGAGAGATAGATCAGAGAGAAGGTAAACCAGAGAGGTAGAGGAGAGAAATCAGAAACCAGAGGTAGATGTAAACCAGACAGATAGAGAGAGATAAACCAGAGGAGAAAGGTAAACCAGAGAGGTAGAGGAGAGAGAAGGTAAACCAGAGAGATAGAGGAGAGAAGGTAAACCAGAGAGATAGAGGAGAGAAGGTAAACCAGAGAGATAGAGGAGAGAAGGTAAATCAGGGAGATATATGAGAGAAGATAGAGAGAAAACACTGAAGCGAGAGACATGAGAGAAGGAATGTGAAAGAGAGAGAATTATGAGACACAGATGAGACAAAGAATTCATGAGAGACAGATAAGTGGAATGAATGAAAAAATAATAAAAGTGGAGAAAGAAATGATGGAAAAATGGCAACTTTACTGTTGACTGATTGGATATTTTTTTTTTCCTTTTTCCACAACTGTTAAATTCTCACTGAAAGGTTATTAAGCCAACAATGTGTCCTTTTAAGATGGAAGCATAAAAAGCAGAAAAGTGATGAGCAGGAAGAAAAAGTTGTCAATAAGTTAAGGGCATATTGTTGTGGCAGTAGATTGCAAAGATAGTTTCAAAGAAAGCGAAACTGTTAGATGATCATAAGAATTACTGGTGTGGGTAGTCAATGAAGACAGAGGTTCCAAAAAGTAAAAGAAAAAAGAAAACCCAATTTTCAGTTTGGATGCTACAAGCAATCGTTGACATGAACAAATATGAATCAATGTGATGATTGGTAATGAAGAGAGAGAGAGAGCAAGAATTAGCAGGTAGCACCTAGAGAGAGATAGAGAGAGAGAGAATTAGCAGGTAGCACCTAGAGAGAGAGAGAGAGAATTAGCAGGTAGCACCTAGAGAGAGAGAGAGAGCACCTAGAGAGAGAGAGAGAGAGAGGTTAGCAGGTAGCAGAGAGAGAGAGAGAAAGAGGAGAGAGAGAGAGAGAGGTGTAGTGGGTAGCACCTAGAGAGAGAGAGAGAGAGAGAATTAGCAGGTAGCACCTAGAGAGAGAGAGAGAGAGAATTAGCAGGTAGCACCTAGAGAGAGAGAGAGAGAGAGAATTAGCAGGTAGCACCTAGAGAGAGAGAGAGAGAGAGAGAATTAGCAGAGTAGAGAGAGAGAGAGAATTGAAAACCACCTAGAGAGAGAGAGAGAGAGAGAGAATTGGCAGGTAGCACCTAGAGAGAGAGAGAGAGAGAGAGAGAGAGAGAGAGAGAGAGAGCACCCAGAAAGAGAGAGAGAGAGAGAGAATTGCAGGTAGCATCTAGAGAGAGAGAGAGAATTGGGCAGGTAGCACCTAGAGAGAGAGAGAGAGAATTGGCAGGTAGCACCTAGAGAGAGAGAGAGAAAACCCAGGAGAGAGAGAGAGAGAGAGAGAGAGAATTGAGGTAGCACCTAGAGAGAGAGAGAGAGAATTGGCAGGTAGCACTGAGAGAGAGAGAGAGGGTAGGTAGCACCTAGAGAGAGAGAGAGAGAATTGGCAGAAACCTAGAGAGAGAGAGAGAATTGGCAGGTAGCACCTAGAGAGAGAGAGAGAGAATTGGCAGGTAGCACCTAGAGAGAGAGAGAGAATTGGCAGGTAGCACCGAGAGAGAGAGAGAATTGGCAGGTAGAGAGAGAGAGAGAGAATTGCAGGTAGCACCGAGAGAGAGAGAGAGAATTGGCAGGTAGCACTGAGAGAGAGAGAGAGATTGAGAAATTGCAGGTAGCACCGAGAGAGAGAGAGAATGAGAGAGAGAGAGAGAATTGGCAGGTAGCACTGAGAGAGAGAGAGAATTGAGAGAGGTAGCACCTAGAGAGAGAGAGAGAATTGGGTAAACGAGTAGCACTGAGAGAGAGAGAGAGAATTGGCAGGTAGCACCTAGAGAGAGAGAGAGAGAGAATTGGCAGGTAGCACCGAGAGAGAGAGAGAGAATTGGCAGGTAGCACCGAGAGAGAGAGAGAGAGGCAGAATTGGAGAGGTAGAGAATTGGTTATGGTAGCAGAGAGAGAGAATTGGCAGGTAGCACCGAGAGAGAGAGTGAGATTTGGTGTGTAGCAGAGAAATAATGAAATAAAAAGAGAAATACAGTAGGTGGCAGCTATTAAAAGGAAAGGAATGAGAAATTGTGGGGAGGGGTGCAGAAAAGAGAGCAAAAAAGAAATTTGACAGATGGCAGAGAGAAAGGAAGATTTGGCATATGACAGAGAGATAAATGTGGTAGAGAGAGAGAGAGAGAAATTTGGTGGGTGGCAGAAAGGGAAAGAAATTTGGTAAGTGGCAGAGAAAGAGAGTGAGTGATAAAGAAAGAAATTTGGGGGTTGGCAGAGATAGAGAATTTCATCAAGTGACAAAGAGAGTGAGAGAGAATGAGAAATTTGGTGGGTGGCAGAAAGGGAGAAAGATTTGGTGGGTAGTAGAGAGAGAGAGAGAGAGATGGTGGGTGGTATAGAAATAGAGAAATTTGGTGGGTGGTAGAAAAAGAGAGTGAGAAATTTGGTGGGTGGCAGAGAGAGAGGAAAATTTGGTGGGTGGTAGAGAGAGAGAGAAATTTGGTGGGAGGTAGCAAAAGAGAGAGAGAGAGATTTGGCAGTTGGTAGAGAGAGAAATTTGATGGGTGGCAGAGATGGAGAGAGAGACAAAAGTTTGGCAAGTGACAGAGAGAGTGAGAGAGAGAAATTTGGTGTATGGCAGAGATGGGGAGAGAGAGAAAGTTGGTGTGTGACAGAGAAGGACAGAAATTTGGCAGGTGGTAGAAAGAGAGAGAGAGAGAGAAAAATTTACTGGTTAGTAGAGATAGAGAAGTGTGGCAGAGAAAGAGAGAAAAAGTGACAAAAGAGAGCAAAAAAATGAAAAAGAGAGAGAGAGAAATTTTGCAGATGGCAGAGAGAGAAATTTGGCAGGTAGCAGGGAGAGAGAGAGAAATTTGGTGGGTGGCAGGGAGAGAAATTTGGTGGGTGGCAGAGAGTGAGAGAGAGAAAATTGACAGGTAGCAGGGAGAGAGAGAGAAATTTGGTGGATGGCAGGGAGTGAGAGAGAGAAATTTGGTGGATGGCAGGGAGAGAAATTTGGTGGGTGGCAGAGAATGAGAGAGAGAGAGAGAAAATTGGCAGGCGAGAGAGCGAGAGAAAGAAATTCAGCAGGTGGCAGAGTGAGAGAGGGAGAAAAATTTGGCAGGTGGCAGACAGGGGGAGAAATTTGCTGGGTTGCATATAGAGGGAAAGAGAAATTCATCAGATGAGAGATAGGGAAAGAGAGAAACAAATTTGGCAGTTACTAGAGAGAGAGAGAGAATTAAAAATATAGCAGGTTGAAGCATAAGTATAAAAAAAAATTCTTAAGGGAAACATAGATTCAGAAATTGTTGAGGGAGAGAAGACAGAAATTTGTGGGAGAGACATCTGTAGAAAATGAAAGGCGTATAAGAAGGACATATGAAGTCACCGAAACGGACTGTGATGAACAGAATGAAATTGGTATGAGACAGATATGGACATAGACGTAAACATGTACACAGAAATTTACAACTGGCATATTGAGTTTTAGTAAATACCACTTTACTTGTGTCGTTAAAAAAAATGATCGCAATATTTAAGTTTGGGATATTTTATAAGTACAATGCTGTTGTGAAATTAATATCATATTATTTGGAACCTATAAGTAATTTCATGAAAGTTATAGCATTTGATTTGTCAAGTTTAAGATAACAGAAATTCTATATCTGCTATCATCAGATGAATCCAGTTTGTAGAAAATATAAAATTGCATGATTTTTTTTATTTTTACTATAAACCATCTTTTCTGGCTTTAAAAATTGCAATGTCAATTGTTCTCTACTGTCTTCCTGATTATTCTTCTATTGTTCTTGCTCTATAATAATGTTTTTCTTTTTTCTCATTTTTTGTGTCTTAATGGCCTTATTGCCTTGCATGGTGTGAATTCTATTAAAAAAATATAGAAGGTATATATGCTAGAACTGATACCTCTATTTTTTAATTTCTTAATAGATTTATTTAGCATAAAATTTTATTTTTATTAAATCAAGAAGTTTCCATTACAGAGATATGGACAATTCACCCCCTTTATATAATCGACATTTCTGGTGATCAAGAAAAGCATTACAAATAATCAAAGTTAGGATGCTTGTCTCCATTGGTTGGCATAAAAAAAAATAGCAACTACAAAAAATGCCTGCAATAGGATAAATGCAGCACAATTCCATCTTGTCTGGACATCTCTGCTCTAAAGAAAAATATGATATGAAAAAAAAAAAAGAAAGGCAATTTATAGAGTAAAAAACAAAAATCCGTTTTTTTTTTACACCTCAATTTGTTATTACATTGTAAACGTCATCAACTCGGTTTGTTTTCCTTGATTTGAATTCTTAAGCATTTCCTTCTTTGCATTGTTTTTACTGAAATTAAAGAGTGACCATGACTGACAACAGCTAGTTGAAATATTTCCATAAAAATAAATCATTCATTGGATCTACAAGTTTTTTCTTTTAATTATTAGATATTAACATTTCTTTCCTCTTTTTTCAGTTATAGGAAAATATCATCAGAAACAAAGACATGAGTATTGAAGTTATGTAGTCCTCCTATATGGCACTGAATTTTAGATACTCTCCTCACAGATGAAGAAAAGACTTGAAGCAATAGAAATGTGTTTCTACAGAAGGTTGCTGAGAATACCATGGATCAAATATGTGAACAATGATCAAATTCTAGAGACAATGGCAACAAAAAGGACACTTATGCCTAACATCAGAAAGAAAGAGTTGAAATTTCTGGGTCACATAATGAGGAAAGAGAGCTTGAAAAATTTGATACCCACAGGACAAATTGAAGGTAAAACAGAGGGCCAGGGGTAAGCAACACACAACGTATCTGGCCAGTTTTAGCAAATTGATAGCAGAGCAGGGTTTGTGAGAGATAGAAAAAAGACAAATTTCATTAAGAACTACAAATGACAGGACATGTGAATATTTTAGGCAACTGTATGGGGTTATGGTTAATGAGGATAATATGGTTGGCTCTTAATATTGAGGGGTATTTGACTCTCAATGGATGTACTGTATATCATATATAAATTAATTTATTACAAGTTTTTATGGTCAGCTTTTTTATGCCACAAAATGTTGGGGGGGGTCACACTAAATGCAATTTTTTTTGAAGAGTTTAAAAATTATATATCTTTGGTGACCAGCTGCACTATACACAGGTATATTTTTTCTGGAAGGTTTAAAATTCATGCAAAATTTCAGAGGTCACACTATACATGAAGTTAGCATATACAGTAAATTTCAAGATTAAATAAATCTATAAGGGTTGACATTTTATAAAATCAACTGAAACATTACATTTCATATACTGTGATTTTCATGTCAAATGATCTTGAAATATCTCATATCTCTTTATCCCTTTCCTTTCTCTCTCTCATTATATATATATATATATATATATATATATATATATATATATTAATGCATGTTTCATTAAATAATATAGACAAATTTTGTCTATTTATTTTAAATAAATTTCTTTCATATTGTCTGATAAGCTTAATAACATTATCATTGAAAGACGAAAGGAAATCACCATATTGATACATGTTTAAATTCAATCTAAGCTTTAGAAACACATAAGCCATTATCAAAGATGACAATTACTTTTCAATATATCAACCAATATACCAAACAATAATGATAGTCTGTTTTTGTTGCATGAAAAATTTCAAAGCAATGAGAAACTTGTGTATGCATGTATCAATATGGTCTTTCATATATATATATATATATATATATATATATATATATATATATATATATATATATATATTTACTGTTTTTAAAAAGTATTTATTTTGTCTACCAGTCTTCTCACTCAAGAAAATTTAATAAGGAAAATATCCACTCCAGCAAAATTCAAACCTATATCCCCCTTTGCTGAAGAAGCCATCATTTGATCCAGTGTGCTTTGATCGTTTGGCTATGGAGAGCTTCACAGTTGAGCAAGATTCTGTTTGCCTGAAAGCACATCCACTTGTTCAAATTTCTTGAAAGCCATATCAGCTCTGTTTCATATATAAAATGTAAACAAAGCAATTACTAAAGAATTAATGGATGTTATTTTTTAATCAGACACATTTTATTTGTTCAAATGTTATTATTAGTGGTTACCTGTATTTGAGTAATATATCATGAAAGGCAAATTTAGAGACTATGTATAATGTTAGTAGTATAGTAGCAGTGCCATTTGTAGTATGGGCAATATAGTAGAGTGTTTAGAACATTAACATTCTGACCGTGAGCATTGGATTCAAATCTTAACATGGTCAATTTGTTATGAAAGTTTTATATAGATTATAGCAACCTGGAGACATTATGCATCATTATTGGGAATTGTTGGAAAACTATATCACAAGTCAACTCAAGCCTTTTGAGTGAAACTGAGTAAATGAAACAGTTCAAAAGATGTTAATGTTTATGTTAGCACGAAGTTACAGTTCATCATGACTGACGATTAAAGTATATATATATATATATATGTTTAAACTACTAGTTATGGAATATTATGTATTATTTCTCAGAATCAATAACTAAGGTCTGCTCAGCATAGTTGTGCGTGTAGAGGAAATTCACTTATCTTCAAAAAGGCTAAGGCTATGCACCTGATAATGGCATTGGCTCCACAGTACAATGAAAAACTGGAGCAGACTCATTCTGTCATTTATAACAGAAAAGGGTTGATAGAATAGCCCGGATGTGTTACCTACAGGTTTGATAGACAGCACATCTGGGTTATTCTATGTATTAGCATAACTGCCTTCAAATGCATATAAATGCATAACTGCCTTCAAATGCATATAATGCATAACTGCCTTCAAATGCATATAAATGCATAACTACCTTCAAATGCATATAAATTGAGTGGCAGTAAACACATGGCAAGCCAAAGAAAGCAGATTGCAGCTAGATTGGATTTGTGACTATTTGGATAAGTAACTGTGAATTTGTGACAGTTTGCTTTATTTGTACAGCATTGCAGTATAAACCACAGGTTGGTTCTGTGAGTATTAAAAAAACACAATGTGCCTGAGCAGATGTCAGCAACAGAAATCAGCTAATCACCCTAACATATGACCATCATAATTTTAGTCATGTGAGATTATCTTTAAGACAGTTATGTAGACTAAAATTCACAGTTCGAGATACAACAAAGATATTTTTGGTTACAAAATACAAATTTATAGGATGAATTATATATATATTAACATTTTTTAGAAAAACATAGCCATGTATATAATATTAGACATATATTAGTTGATAACAACACAATAATACTCACACATGCACACAGTAAAAAGAACCTTCAGATATTGGAGGGCATTTACATTAAAACGAAGCAACCCACACTCAACAAAATTACATTGCAAACTAGTCACAACACATTACAATGCATCTAGACATTGGTTCTGTTGGAATACTTCGGTCTATCGCATGGTATGACGTAATAGAACCACATTTTGAATTTACAATCTACATCTGCTACTCCACGACCGTTATCATCGCATAGCAATCTTCTATGTCAAAATAAAATATCATCTCTGATGGTGGATATCTTTGTTTCATGTCTGTATAACCACTCTGAGGTTGGCTCATGTGAGCCGAAAGCTTACGACCAATTTAATAAAAAATATCCAAATGTTGGACAATTTTTGTCTTTATTTTCACCAGAAATTAAAGCAAACATTCGAACATTAGAGACATAATAGACATTCATAGTCTGTTATATTTAATAATATATATATATATATATATATATATATAAAAGCTTTATGATAAAAATAATAATAGAATATCAATGAAGTGAAAGAGAGAGTGATTTTTGATGGTGTGGTAGATAGTCATATGTATCTTATAGATTTTTTCCATAGATGAGTGCCATGTCTGAAGTGGGTGGGTAGGCAGAGTGAAACAGACGAGAATAGATTACTAGTTGGTTAAATCAATTGATGAAAAAAGATATACTGTATTATTTGAGGGCATGTTCAGACCAAAGTGTGTCAAGCGTAATCTCAAAAGAGAAAGCAGACATTAAAATCAAGAAGGAAAAAAAAAAAAAAAAAACATGGTTTCAAAGAAAGAGCGAAACACGTACACACAAAAACAGGAATTTTCTCAAGAAGACATGAAAAGGCAAGAATCAAGTGGTTCCACTAATGAGAAGGCA